CGGCTCCCTCCGTCAGAGCATCACCCAAATCGAGTGGAGGGAAAGATGGTGTGCAGAGCGGACGCAGAGTGGCAGTTTTCACCTCGTGGGCGGGAACCTGTAGCGACCTTCCAGATTGCGGCTTTGAGGGGGGCGTCGTTCCTCTTCCACCTGCAGAGAGGGAGCTCTGGTTTTACTTCTTCAACACCCTCGGGCCCGTTCACGGACCGATTGGACGGCTCACGGCTTCTGAGGCAACCCGATGATGCCGTCGGATCGTCCGCTCGCCGCAAATGCCTGCCCCCAACCGTGGCGGCGGCGGCGTACTGACTGCTTCCGCCGCGGTCGCGGACGCCGCGATGGCGGCGATGAGGGCGGCGGCAAGGGAGGGGGGGGCAGGCAGCGGGCAGGGCGTGGGGCGGCAGGGGCGGCAGGGGCGGCGGGGGCGACGGGGGCGGCGGGGGCGGCGGGGGCGGCGCGGGCGGCGTGCCGCAGTTCAGGGCCTGCACCGAATGCGGATACCACAAGGGTGCATACCCTGCTGAACACCCTGGGAATCGCCGTGGACATAAGGCGAAAGGTTCAGCGCCCCAGCCCGACGTTGAACCGGCGAAAAAATGTTCAGTGGACCAGAGCTTGCGGCGCCCAGAGTCGGACAAAGTCTGGAACCCGAAGCAAAGAAAGAGGACGTTTTTGCCCTGCCCGTGCGATGTATTGTTGTTGTTGTTGTTGTTGTCTTCACATTCAATTTTTTTTTGCGAACACTCGGGCTAAGATGATAGTTCTCCCGGTTCTTGCCTTGTTTCCCATAGAGTTGTCTTCTTGTCCCGGAGCGGTGTGGCCCTTCATCTCTGGACTCTCTCCTTTCCTCTCTCTGGGGCATACCCCCACGGCGTGCGGTCACTCCGCCACCCTCACCGTGCTCTCTGCTGCTGCATTGCTGCATAACCCCGGTGTCCAAGCCGGGGCGTTAGGATCCAGCCTCATTTTGCAGCTACCAAAGCTGGCGGTTCACGAGATACCCCGATCTCACGACAGCAGTAACTCCCAACCGCCAAACTCAGGATCCCCCTCTCAACAGTGCTAGGGACCGTATATCCGTCTTTGCTGGGTGGTCTTTCGAGGTCTAGATCCACTTGCGGAACCTCGGCCTACCCCAGGGACAGGGGGGGCAGGCCGGGGAGGAGGGAGAGAAATATGCAAGGGCTCATACGCACACGTGGAGGATGGTGATGGTTAGCCTGTACTGCCGGGTCGAGAAGAGCTGGACACATTACAAAAAATGTAAATATTTGCCTACCGGTTCGAAAGGCAGTTCGGTCAGTTAAAAGTGCACTACTTGTACGGCAGTCGCCCAGAATTTTGGATGGTAAAGGAAATTACAAACGGCCCACGATTGAGGCAGCAGATACAGCACCACGGCTGCCCAGGCGATGTGTGTGTGTGTGTGTGGTGTGTTTTTTGTTTCCGGCGCCATCTGCCGTCTTTCAACAACGATATTGAGTTGGACGGTATGCTAGACGTGCCTGAGAATGCAGTGCGAGAAACCGTTTCTAAATCGGCTCACAGTTCGAGGAGAACGGCCTACCAACAGCAGTGGATCAGAGGTGTGTCCGAAAAAAAACAAAAAACAGCCAAACTCTGTGCAAACGCCTCTTAACATTTTTTCGCGCTTCGCGCGATTTTTTATATATTACGTCCCCGGCTAGCCCTACCTATGGGCCCTGAGCCTGCTTGCCGGCCTGCTCTGTGCTGCCGCGCAAACACGTTAACGATGGGGAGAAGACACTGGTGCGGCCTGTTGCTGGTGATTTTACTTCACGATGAGGTCGCTTATTCCCTAGCACCGCGCGTTTCCCTCTCGCGCGCGTTCCAACGCAGAGATTGCTCGCCACAGCAAAGAGGCCGCACCTGTACAACAGGGCAACAACCTCGGCGTCGCATGCGTCCATGCAGCAGATGTAACAGGATGGTCATGTCCGCGGGCAGCATGTCGCAACCGGCAAAGGCTGTGCTTTCATCCTTGCTGGCAGTCAGTGTTGTTTTGACCGGCGTGGTGCCTGGGTTGGAGGTGGAGTCACCACGTCCGACGGGCAGGAATATCGTTACTCAGGTCGTCGCCTCTGCCGGTGTTCCTAGCGCTGCTGCTTCCACTTTCAACACCGAGCAAGCAGCCATCGCGGAGACGTGGGTGAGACGTGGAGTCAGTCGGTCTGTTGCATGCCTTTTGTTTCTTCCAGTATCACGTGCGACTGCACTATGTACAACTGCTGTTGTATCTTGGTGAAAACAAAGGGTTGTCTTGTACAGTGAACGTACAGCAGCGGTACATAGTCTGCTGCTACAGGAGCAGCTGCTTTTAGATATGAACATGTGCGCCGTCCCCGTGTCTGCCGATGTTGCCGCGGCTTTGGTTCATGAAGATCTTTCGCTTTGCGTCGCAACGGCCCCGTGATCTCTTGGTGATCGACGTACGTTCTCATCCTGATTAGTCTCACCGTGGCAAGTCCGAATTGTGGGTTCACCCTCCCTGTCCCATCTTCACTGCATGGGTTCGTGGCACCAAGCCGTTTACTCGACCTCATAAGATCCTGCTGTATGGTGGACCAGTAGCCGACAAGCTGTTGCGGCGAGCCTCACGCCATCTCAAGACCTTCTCCCCTTCTCTCCGTCTGCCCTGTGCATACACAGCGCACGGTGGACCGCCTGTACGTCGACCGGACGTTCGGCGGTCAAGATTGGTTCGGTCTGCGCCAGCAAAATATCAAGGTGAGTTGATTGGCGTTTCTGCTTTGGCTAACACGGCCCGCTGCATGCAGCTTTGGATAGTTTTGCTCCGACTCGTGGAGGATGCCGTCCGATGCTGGAAACGGACTCCCGGGAAGTGATAAAAGTGGACAATCTTCACGACTCCCTAGCGGCAGGTTGTGGGTTCAATTTTATTTCCGGAGGGTTATTTCCCGGGATTTATTCCAGCAACCGGTGAGTTGAAAGCGATTTAGGTCTTGAGTAAACAAACGTCGGCTTCACGGTCGACGAGAGAAAGGGATGGCTGAACCCTTTTCGCGATAAAGACTAAGGCGAGAACCGCAGGGGGAAAGAAAGGTGGGTTAATAAAACAAGAACAAATATGTTAAAAAAAGCTCCTGTGTGACTTTCCTCTTGTGTTTCCGGCTGATACGTGAGGCCTGTAACCGGCGCGAGAACAGATGGGACGAACACACATACACACTTCTTTAATCGGGAGAATAGCTTAGCCTCCCCCATGCCGCCCCGTCACGGGGTCCCACTTCATGGCATTTAGAAGTGTTTCGTGTTTTCAACTTCATTGGGACTGAAGTTTTTGTATTGGTTGATGCTAATGATACAGACAGACACACACACATTTTGTTCTTTCATATCACAACCATCGTACACATATCTACCGTACTGTACCAGTAAGGAGGCTGCCTTCCCCGACGAGAACGTTTTCGACCACACCTATGCTTGCCTATAAAGGTATATGAGCTCGCGCCTGTGCGGCGTGCTGCCCGGTTCAGCTATTCCGCCTTGCGTCTGACGACGGCATCTGCCAGCTATCGAGGAAACACAGCAGTAGAGCACCACCCGACACCTTTTCTTTCGGACGATCGCTAGTTGGTTCGTGCATTGTGGCGTTCAATGCCGACCTCGGTACTTGATTCCTGTTGTGTAGTAGCTGGCTCTATCGTTACTCGTGCTTTGTCCGCTTGCGGCAGGTGCCGTTTTGCATGGTTCTGTTCGGCAGGTTCAGGTTGGTAGCAAGGCGGACCGTCGGAGCGCCCATTTGAAGCGTATCCGCGCTAAATAGCTATGTCGGTGCTTCTTTTGCTTCTTTTGGTTTTGGTCCCATGTCGTTCGCCTATTTCTTTGCCTCCATGCACACGATTTTCTTCCCCCAGGACGCTGCGAAGGGCATGACAGAGTCCGACCTCAACTCGGCGTTGTCCAAGATGCTGGCGTCGCTTGGTGATCGCTACACGCGGTACCTGCCCCCAGCCAAGTACGCCACCATCGTGCAGGTACCTACGTAGATCTGATCGGATATGTCCTACCCGGACCGACCCCCCCGGTTCTAGCCACGGGGCCCCGACCGGGAGGGTGGCAACACCGAGCACCGACCGCAGTGCGACAATTATTTTGCCGATTGGAAAAACCACGTGGAGATGTTGGGCTTTGCCCCCCTTCGTCTTGGTGGGAAACCAAGCTGAGCAAGTCCACGCGTTAGAGGGCGGGGTGCTATCTTATCTTCCACAACCGTGGCTGCATTCGTCAGCATCTTCATCTAGGAGAAACCTCGAGCCAGACTTCGGACTAATCGAAGATCCACAGGCGGTCTATTAAGATATGGTACCCCTGTAGTGCGTACCATGGTTACGTAGCTTCGGTGTTCAGCCTGGTCAAGCTTAAGCTTTGTATCTTTGAAGGTAGTGGATTTTATTTTGTTTCTGCCTGTGTGGGCGAAAACCGTTCTTGCTTGGTATCTGTTGCAGGTGTCTCTGGCGGACGCAATTTCGCAGCGAGCCCCGTCTCCTGTAGCGTCGGTCAATCTCTCTCGAAAAAATGTATTGCCCGAAAGACCCCCCCTCGTGTGTGGGCACGAGGGCAGCGCCCGCTACCGGCCGACACTCACCAGCTAGGTCTGATTTTGGCACATAAAACTGATTAAACCTCCTCTGCACCTAATTGTCGACTATGTTTGTTGAGCAATTGAAATATGCGCCCGCGTGTACCCCGCGATTCTGCTTACAAGGCCTTCCGATAGCACCCTTTCTGTATTTTGTCCCCGGATAATCTTCCCTTCACAACATCTCTGTCTCACTCTCTCACTCTCTCTCTCTCTCTCTCTCTCTCTCTCTCTCTCTCTCTCCCGTTAAATCCGTTGAGAGGGTTTCCTGGCGCAGGGGGCTGTACCGTTGTAGCCGTAAGGGGCAGCTGCTGTGTTGCCAAGAGACCTGATACACGTCCGTCCCCACACACCACCCGGAACGCCTCCACACGATATGTCCGCAGTCCTCGTCAGGCGATGTAGCGGGAGTCGGGGTGTCTTTGTCCGTGGACGGTGGGCGAGATCTGCCACTCATTGTCGGGGTCGAGAGCGGGACGCCCGCGGCGGAGGCGGGCCTTCAGGTGAAAAACGCTGAGGGGGGGAAGAGGAGGTCGTGGGCTCAAGATAGCACCACCAGTGCTTTTTGAGCAGGTATTGATCGCTTGGAATTTCGCTCGCAGGGCTAGCTTGTATGATTCGCTGAGCACCGTTGTGGGTTGGACGAATGGAAAACGATCCTGCACGGTGGGACTTTGTCCAGACGTAGCTCCGTCGGTTTTTGCGGAGTTTCGCGCGAGGTTGGAACAGCGTGCCGTAAAGGTGAGATAGATTCGCTTTCTATATCCCATGGTAGGAGGATCAATCACCTTTAGAGTTTGGTTGGTATCTCTACATATTGCTACGTCGAGTGCAAGCACAAACGTAATGCAGCTCTCGCGGTTGACTGCCAACCGCACACGAGCTACACAAGCGTTATAATAGTCGCTTTTGACTCTTTTCGATCGGCTATGCACACTACTTTTGTACCTCTCGTGAGGACGCTAGCCTTGCTCGTGCACACTTCTGCGGTAAGCGTGCTATTAATTGGCCTCGTAGTAGCTCGTCGGTTTTCCCGCTCACACTTCCAACCAAAGAGCCGATCTTCCGTGGGAGCTCCGCGGCTAATGTAATGATCACACGTTTCACGGGACAACTGGCTTATGATAGTGGAATATATATGCCGAGCACTCTAATACCACCATAAACGGTCTTGGAGTCGAGGTCTTGAGCAATAATAATACTACTGGAAATTCACCCGCCATTTTTTCTCTGATCGTTCCTCGGCAGGCGGGGGATCTTCTGCTGCAGATCAGCGGAGACGAGTGCCGAGGCCTCGCCCCAGACGACGCGGCGGCTTTGCTGAGGGGAACGGAAAACACTAAGGTCGGTATTGTCGCGGAGCGGCCAGCTTCTGGCGGGGCGGCGGGGGAGAAGCTGGACTTGATCGTTACTCGACGCAAGTTCAAGGTGGAGGGAGTCATTCCGCGGGAAGCCACGGTCAACGGCCGGAAGATTGGGGTACGTGGTCTGCGTTGTTTGTTAACTGCTGTAGCTATTCGGTGCGCGTTTCGACCTGAGCAAGAGCACAACTTCTATGCCTTGAGCGTGACCGCAGACCTTTGAGAGCAAGTCAAGTTTTGGTCGGGCTACTCGCTGACAGCGGGTAGAGTTCGACACTAAGTGACCTCTGTGAAGGTGTTACCAAGACCGGCAACCAGGTTCGAACGAGAATCTGTATTTTTTCCATTGTGGCTTTGCCCGGAAAACAGTGCCTTTTTGCTTCACACGCATTTATCGGTTCGTTTATTCGCGAGCATTTCCGGGATTTGGGCTGTTTCTTTTTAATGCGATGGCGCGGGTGACGGAACTTCGGCTGTGTGTTGCATACGTCATGTCTTGCCCGGGTTGCCACTGAAAATCTGCAATGCGTCTGCCTGCGTCAAATGATAATTTTCTCTCTGGTTTTGCTCTTGCTTGGTCTGAACACCGAGCGTGCTATCGCTGCTGCTCGCTGAAAGCTATTGCAAGGCAGTTCTGAGACCGATCATCTGAATCCACTAACAGACAATGGCCCAAACATCACATCTAGTTCAGCCAACGATATATTTTCCACAACACCACTTTTGTGTCGTCTTGCGAAGTGTTGATTGGGTGTGATTTGGCGGCCTTGTGGCCTAGCCATGGCAGAAAGTGGCACCAGCTGTGAGACAGTACACTTTCGTTTCCAACATATGAGATTATCACGAGCGCGGAAGCGTCGTCTTAGCGTGGTGCGATAGGCCCCGGGGTTCTTGATGTAACCCTGACCGGCCTGGTTTTGCCTGATGGGTGGTACTCACGGCGCAACTCGGCATCATTCCGTTGTGGACCAGTTCGTGGCTCACCTCGCCCTCGTACCTCCGCTGTGAAACATGCGCGCGTGTGTTGTGTACAGTATAGGCTTGTCGCGATGGGGACTGGCTTGCGGTCGGGTGCGTAGCCTCCGTTGTGTGCCCGACCCCTGTGCTGATTTGCGGTGTCAGCTGCTATGGCAGAAGTATGTAGGCTAGTGCCAAGAGTAGATGGAAGAAATCACCCACCCATCCACCCATGTCTTTTGCCATGCCTTCACCATGCAGATAGTGCGGATCAAGTCCTTCAGCTCGAACACCGCCGGGGACGTGAAGGCCGCGGTGGAGCGGTTCAAGTCCAGCGGAGTCTCTCGAATCGTCGTAGACCTTAGGGGAAACGTCGGCGGACTACTGCCCGGCGGCATAGACACGGCTGGATTATTCCTTGACTCGGGCAAGGTGAGCGACCGCCTTTCCAAACGCCTTTACGTGCCCCTAGCATGACGCGAACGTTGGAACCAAGTCGACGAAAGGTCTATCTGGTGAAGAAATAGTTATTTATTGCGATCGTTTGTCTCTTGCCCTCCCGTGAGCTTCGAGAGAGCGCGCTTGGAGCGTGCTCGTGGCGTGTTGTCCTGCGAATTTTGCACAAATGTTGGCACCACGCCAGGAAAACGTCTCCCATAGGGCTCGGAATGCAAATTAGCGGTCGCTTTTGCCTACCGTGAGGTTTGAGAGAGCGCCAAGAGGTATGAGGAAAATCGTGAGAATGGGTACAAGGTGCTGCACATTACCGATCACGTTTTGTCTCTTCGCTCCCGTGAGGTTTGAGAGAGCGCCAAGAGGTGTGTTGCAGAATTGTGAGACCATCTTCCCGGGCGTGAGGTATGCCCCACGCCCCCCGCTCGGAGCCTATAGATTGCTTGCTCAGCAACACGGTTGGTCTGGCACAGAGTGGGGGAGGTTTCGAAACGGAGCGAAGATGTTCGGCACTCTGTTCTTGAGGCTAGGACGGCATTTCGCGCCGGTAGGAAGTGTGAGATCGAGTAGAATAGGCGGCTGAAATCGATTGCAACGTTCTTCTCAGCAGGGTAACCGGTGGGGGTATGTCTATCCCTCACTTGTGTACATCGCACAGTGGAGTGCGACACCGGGAAGTCGTCCGGCGGTAACGTTGAGTTTGGCCGCGCGTGCGCTTGCGTTCTTTTGTGTTGTTGCCTGCGTCGGTGCTGTTCAACTGGCACTGTTTTGGTAGGTTTCTCAACGCGCTCACCTCTGTTTAGCGCCCACCTCTTCTCTGCGCCAAAGCGGTAAGGCCAAAGCGATACGCACCCCGGTATCTTCATTTCTAACTCCGATTTTCATTGTCCTGTTGGTTGGTGTGGTACAGGGGACAGGACGGGACGGACACGGTGGTGCTCATGACTCGGAAAACCTCGGAACCACCCTGCGTCTCCCGGCTGTGCCACTGATGCCACTTCTTACTCGACACACGAAAGCTAATAGTCACAGAAAAGTCTACCCTTACGAAAAATGATTCCCCTTCCGAAGGGATGTGTTGCAGTCTCCACAAAGTGAGAATAATGAGAAAATTGGAGCTGTTTCCGATCCTCTTCTCCCCGCGCTGGCCGCTCCCGTCAAAAACAGGACGTGGTGTTCATTATCCGCAAGAACGGCTCGGTGGAAGGCCGGACAACCTTGGAGGCGGGGCCGCAGGCGCAGGGGCTGCCCCTGACTCTTCTGGTTGACAAGGGCACCGCTTCTGCTGCCGAAGTGTTCGCCGCCGCCGTAAGGTATTACGGTGCATTTCGCCGAGAGATGCAAGGTCGGCATGCGGATGCGGCGATACGTCATCATATGTGAATCGCATATCCCGGGGTGGATGCTTGATGTGTTCTCCTGGTTGATTGTATGCGTTTTGAGAGTTCAGGTCCTGTGAGAGAGGCGCGTCGGCACGCTGGTTGTGTGGCGGATTGTGTGGCGTCACGGCTGGATCACCGGCGGCTGATGCTTGCCATCTACGCTTCGGAGTTGTTTCGAAAGCCCATCACACCCGCGCTGTAAATCTCCGTATACAACCTCGTCGCAGAATGTCTCGCCGGAATGAGCGGTGTATCGTATTGCGAACGTTTTCCAACCACGTGTGGAGAGCCACGTGTGGGGAGGAGGTTGGTTATGGTGTTTCTTGGCATTCATCTATTTTTATTGACAAGGAACAGCCTGCTGTGGTGTATTCAATGCCGGAAAGCATATCGATATCACGTGCAGTGCCACGTGCGCTCGTATGTTCCGCGCTGAGATCGTACATGGCTCGCCTATGTATCTGTATCTTTCAGGGGATATTTAAACACGCAAGAGGCTGACCCCACCCCCGGCGTATGCATCGACCACGGCCGCTCTGCAGAGAAAATGATCGCGCGATGTTGGTGGGAGAGCGCACCTTCGGCAAGGGTGTCATCCAGACGGTGGAGCCTTTGACCAACGGGGGAGGCGTGGCGGTTACAGTCGCAAGGTAAGCGGTGAATATTGCGTCAGGAGGGAATGTTTTCGGATTCCGCGCAAAAAAGGTACATGACATGTATTGGCTTGGCTGCGCCGCGGTGAACGGGCGTCGTTGTTGTAACTTTTTACAATTTCGATTTTTCAGGACAAGCTCAAAGGCGAGATGTGTGGTGTTTTGCCCCCCAAGCCTTGAGGCGAGTGAAGTTGAGTATCCCGGGGTGCAGAAAAGAAAGAAATGCCGTCTACGAATGCACTCGGATGATAAAAAGTATTTGATTAGAGAGCAGCGACAGACTAGTTGCAGTATATCCATGAGACAGCGAGAGGGGAGGGAATACGTTATCGGCGTAAATTTCCGCTGCAGCATACGGCGGAAGCGTGGCTGACGACAGATGGTTGTTGTTGTTGGAGTAGGCGCAGTGCTCAGTCTGGAAAGAGAACATCAATATCATCATCGTAAAAAAAAATGAGAGATGCGACGAATGACTCCGTTCCCCCGCGCCGCTCGTGCGTGCGTTCGACGAATGCGAAACCCCTACTGCCCAGATATGAAACGCCGCTACACCACAACATCAACAAAGTCGGGATACCGGTGGACAAGGAGATTGAGTGCCCGGCAAGCCGCGATGCAGCCGAGTGCGATATATGACAGGGGGCGGGTGGGGCAAATGTCGTTGAGAATTGTGTGGATAGAGAGCACTCGCTGGATCTGTAGCTGGTGTTGGTGAAAACGAAAATCGATCCGTTAGACGAGATTCCTAGATCACGCTGTGCCCGTGGACATGCTTTCGTTATGGCCTAAAAGGGACGAGGACAGTGTCTCCTGCTGCCCGGAATGTCCGCTCCCTCGTGATAACGACCCAGCGACGAAAGTCTACATAGGGGGTACCCCGGATGAAGAGCAATGAACATAGTTAGCCGCCGCCGGGGCAAAGTTGCGTGCACGAGCTCTGCTCTTGAAGGCAGGTCACACGAAGACGTTGTCTGCCGTTTGCTAGGATTATGAAAAACACTCAGCCGCAGCCGCATCTCGCTCTGCATGATATTTCCGCTGTAGTACTTCGTATATAATTACTTTTACTTTAGCTTCGGAACGATTTGAAACTGTGTGTGTGGTGGGCTACCTTTTGTAAAAGAATAACCCGGAACCAGAAACATTGTGGGATCTGGGTGTGTAGCCTTTTCAACCAACACCACTGCACATATGGCCAGACCCTCTGTTATCCAAAGCTTTTGAATAATAAGACAGGCGTTTTTATGCTTACCGCCAGGTGGTATCACTGGCATAACAATCAGGCGTAACAATCAGTGTATAGGCTCAAAACAGACTTGAAATAAGCCCGGTACCCAGCCGGTTTCTCTCCACTTTCTTACTGCAAAGACTTCAATACACCCCCTTCGACTCTGTGGTGATATCTCGAACGGGTGGTCTCTCTCTGTTTGTACGTAAAATAATTCGTGATAATCTTTGTGTATTCCTAGGTTTAGATCCAACTATCCAACAACCGACTGCGATTGAAACAACTGCGTCGTGCATTTAAGTGAGGTTCCTGCCGCGCGGTACGTTCCCAACATTGATCATTACCTTCGCGCGGTTTCCTTGACTAGAACAAGCGCTGCGAGCACCTTCGGCCGTGGGAGTACATCCGAAGATGGGTGTGTGAAGTCCTCGGTTTTCGTACAACAATACATCGGTTTGGTTTCCATCCATAAAATAATATCACACCGAAAGCACGTTCGTCACGGACGGGTTGGTTGTTGTCGAGGAGAAAACTGTACCAGGTTCACTCGTCCGTGTTCGACACTGACTGGCCAGAATTTATCCTTCTGTGCGTCTCCGAGTTGGCCGAGGCCTGTTTCTTCTTTTGTCCGATGGGGTACTGTACAAAGTACCCACCAACGTGTAGGCTAGACTACAGCAACAACAGTAGTACTGCTGTAGTAGTTCTGCTGTATGTAGTATTGTATCGTATTTAGTTCCGCTAACATGAAAGCGAAAGCAGCCAGCAGTAAGTAAGGCAGCAGCGGCAGCGAAGAAAGCCACGGCGGCAGCGACCCACACACGAACCAAGCTAAACGAGATAAGGTGCGTACTCAAATGCTCTCTTTTAGCAGATTGAATTACGTTATCCATCCCAACGAGGTATCGTGCTTCCAATGCTCATGACACTAATAATCTACTTTTTGCTCTCAAGCGGGTTCTTTGCATGATGAGACCCATCCATGTTTATGGTTTCCAAATCTTTATCTTCCATTCTTTGGACAAATGTTGGCTTTTTCGACCTTTTGGGCAGTCTGCCTCCCGAACGAATGCGAATCAGCTGTTCGACCTTTGAGAATAGTCACAGCTTTGCCTGAGATGTCTACAGATCGCCTATATGTTTCGCCAGGGCCCACGTTTGATTTTTGCAAGGTGCGCAATTTTCACGCAAGATTTTTCCAACACCAGCCTTTTTTGGGACAGATCTTGGCCCAAGATTTGCTCCGAGGTGGTCTTTCGGCCGAATGGTGCACATCTTGCTCTGCTG